GGAATGGGAAAGAAAAGCTGAGATGTTTGAAGTGCCATGAGTTTGAAATGGTAGAGGAACATCAAGAAGGTAACATCAAGAGTACCCACTCAGAGACGCAGATAGGCTAAATAGAACTGTATTTGATTACTTAAATGAAACCATGAGGACAAAACTTCCCAGCACAGTAAAAATAAAATGAAATTTAAAAATCTAGCAAAATTAATTCTGCATGTTGTTTCCTTCAGTTTTTATACCAGCTCCCCACCATGCTTTTAGATAGTATTTAGCAAGAACAACTTGTCTTCTTTTTTAAATTCATCATCAATGCACTTTTCCCAGATGCTATTTCCTCCCTGAACTAAATTACTCAAGCTTTTACTTGTAATGATGGAGCAACATCTGCAAAGATTATGAGGCCATATGAAGGGGTTTCTGTGCAACAGGTAAATAATGTACGTAATTCTTTTTAAAAGGAGAATTGAAAGCATTACAGCATGAAATGAAGAAACAGCAGGGAAAGGAGCATGTTTTTGCCTGGGGCTGTTAGACAGGCAAAGCTGTTGAATGTACTATCCAATATCTTGAAGCCTCAGATTACAATAGGTATTATTTCCCATGTTTTTCTGCCATCCATTTAATATGATGCACCTAAATAATAATAAACCTCCCCTGTGATCAGCTCTCTCCCCACAGTTACAGCATGGGAGACTAAGAAAGGTTTTTCTTGATCAAGAAAAAGAAGGAAGTAGGCTGCAATTAATTCTCTCTCACTTCTGTTTAGAAAAGAGATATGCTGTCATTTTCAGTGGCAACAATAAAATCCTGGTGATCATTTTCCTCTTGGCTGCATCTGTCCACTATGACCACCAAAGGATCCAGTGGTACTTGCCAGCCTTTGGTCACTGGAGGCTCCCATTCTTAGTCAGAATAGGGGGAAAAAAGAACAACAAAAATCTTCTGCCCAGTACTGTTTGATTAAGTTCACTACACAGCAGTTTTGTTTTCTAAAGCAGCATTGGGCTCTAGGAAGAAGGGAAATTAATCTATGAGCAGATTGTGTTGTCTCTGTGGTAGCTTATTGTCACTTCAAGAGCTGGCAGGATCCTTGATTGCTGTGTGACACTGTGTGTGAAATAGCTTTTGCAGAGAGATGCCCTTGTATTCAGTTGTGTATCTTTTTTCCCTGTGCTAAGTTTGTGGTTTTCAGTAAACAGTGTATTTCAAAAGCAGTGAAGGTGCCACCTGCCCTACCTACACAAACCTTTTCTGATAATGATCAAGGTGTATGTCTCTCTATGAGCATCATACCATAAAAGATTTTTGTCTTCTAATTCTTAGAAATAAGAATTTCTGAAATAAGGTTATTACTTGAAATGCTATGAAGTAAACCACTCTTCCTGCTTCCTCTTCTATTGAGGCAATTGACTTTAATTAGTTGCTTCAGTTTCAGATACTGCTGTACAAATCAAAAGCACAGGGAGTAACAGGAGGAGGACAATGAACCATCTGCCAGCACAATTCTCTCCTTTTTGGACACTGTCTCTTGTTAACCCAGATCAAGTTAAAGTCAGCCTGGGAGGTTCATATGGATCCAGAGCTTTCATGTTTAGGGCTGGTTTCATATCTCTTATAATATCCCCTGATATGAGATAGTTATGTAGGTGCTGTTTGTTCACTCATAATTTTCAAAGACATTTGATAAACCCTCTCCTTCCTAATTTCAGTTTTCCTCCTAATTCTTTATGAGTATTTTCCAGCCTTTGTCTTCATACATGTTTACCTGTCTAATTTGGAACAGAATTCCTATTACTTGTGATCATGTGAAATTTCCTTCTCTCTTCCCTACATTGTTTCAGCCTTAGAAGCAAAGGATTGCAA